AATTGATAATACCGTAACAAATGACCACGGCCTGAAGATCATTAAATTTCTTTCTTCGTGATGTCATATCATTGATTCTCGACGAAACGGCTTGTCAAGTTGCGTTCAATGCAAATATCTTACTTAACGCGTGGATTAATTAACTTAAAACTGGTTTGTTTTGGTATAGATATTGCAGAAATGACTGTGTTACTTTGCAAATGTGGAACGCAGTTCGTTACAGCCAATGAAAGGTTATTGAAAACAATTAATTTACATAATGATAGTTTGTCATGTTTAATTACAAAGAAAGGCCAAAGTTTGTTCATAGACAGTCAATTTTTTTTCAAAGCTCTCTTAAAATGAAAATTAAGTCAACTACGTACGTCCGGATGCCGGAAAACCGGGTTTCTCTGAAAACATAATGAAATAACATACAGTATAAAATACAACTCTAATTTGTCATTTGTCTTGACTTTTCTATTATTATCATTATTAATGAACAATTCAATCTGCTTTTATTTGAAATATATATGTTTAAAATGAGATGAAGCAGGTAAAACTAATTCAAGCTTTAAAAACAAGAACAGCAGCAGCAGAAGCGGCGGCGGCGGCATTAATTTCACCAGCACACCAACGGCACAGTTAATATAGAGTATCAAGAGTTGTGCCCCTTGATCAAACACTTACAAAAATATAATCATTTCAAACACTTGTCACAATGATTTTGAACTTTTGCGAATAATAATCTATTTATCTGTTAACTGCCAGAAGTGAGGCAATAGATTTTGATTTATTTCGTATTGAAATACCTATGCTATCTTAACTTAATACTACAGTTGATAGAATGTTTACTCTCCCTTCCAGTGAAAGTGTAAATTATGATTAAAACTGCCACCTGTTAAATGACCATTGATTTTAGATACTTTGGGTTATTAAAAGTCGTATAGAGCGTAATGGTCTCACATCGGGCACTGATAGGTAGCTACCTTATATTGTATATTGTACAATACCTTAGAGTAACCTTGGTTTATAAAGATACTCAAATTAGACCTATAATTTAAAAATTGTTTTACCAAAATTATTAATGAATTAGTAATTAATAAGTTACTGACACCATTTTAGTGACTATACTGTATCTGTATATGCACGAGGCATACTAGTTTTGTATTGAAATGATTCAAAATAATATATAATTATTTACCAGTGAACCATTGAATATGATGTGATATTCACCCCGCTTCGGTCAATATGACAGTCTGTCCCGGTGAATATCACATCAAGATTTAATGGCTCACTAGCTGCCAACAAAAATAATTAAGCCTATATACAGTCACAAATTTGAAAGAAACATCTTTTTTGCTCATAATAAGGGCATTGAAGTTAAATAAGCTTTTTATTGAACCGTTTTGCAATAATTAAAGTGTGACCTGAATTCAACAAGAAATATTTCGTTTATATTTGGGTATATATCCCACACTCCACTTAGCCTACGACTCCAGTGAGTCCTTTTTGTTTATGGACATCTGAACATTGCACTACTCATCTCCCTCGTTGATTATTTATGTCTTATAACTTTTTACAAAGTTGGTTTGCATTGCCATTTTAACGATAAATATATTTCAACAGCTCTCTTGGTTAATTTATATCATCTCGGTCAGATTAGCTTATGTGAAACCTCCGTGCGGGGTATTATAAACTAATCTCACCAGATTCGGATATTGATATATATTCGGAAACAACACGTGCTCGGATTTATCCTGTAGAGTCGAGCAAATAGAAAACTACTTTCCATCAAATAAATACCGCAAAATAGACGATAATTCTATTAGAAATATTTGCCAACAGATAAATGAAATTAATTTAATATTTTTCGCTCATGAATACAAGTGTTTCGTTCATGATCTTTGGATTATAATCAGATATGGTACTGTATTGGTAAAGGGGGTACTTAGTTATATTTAAGCACCAAAAGATTACTTTCATGTATTTGAACTACCATGTCGGCGTTTTTTTTTCTATAAGAAACACAGACACAGTGGCCAGATGCAGTTATTGAAATTGGATTTCTTGCGTTTTAGAGTGTATGCACCCACGTATTTTTTTTAAAAAATAATATTTGTTCAGTACATATTCAGTCATGTTTTAATTCAATAAAGACTTACCAATAACTAGCCAAATGACACGGACCTTCACCAATACAATACAAATTCACATGATAAAATATAGACGTTTTTATTCTAAACATGCGGTGGCCTAGTGGTGTAGGTGTCTGTCGCTCAACCCAGAGATTATGCGTTCGAGCCCTACTCGGGTCATGACCACGTTTCTTCATATGACACCAAGTACTGGTTGGTTCCAGGAAACGGACTCGGAAGTGATTAACATAAGTTGCAAGAACTTGTTTCGCAATCGGGCTTAAATAAATATGTTTAAACCAAATGTTCTTCGCGTTAACAACATTTATTGCAATTTCAGGAATATAATTATCTTGTTGAAGGAGTCTTTATGTCTATAAGATCTAAAGGAAGAGTTGAAAAAAAACTGTCAGGCTTCAGCACGACAAGTAACAGATTGTGTTTTGGGACAGTGATTTTCGAGTTTGAATATCAATTAAATATCAATCAAAAATGATACATTTTTGAGGTATAAAATAGTTTTACTTACATTATAATGTATGCATGTAAAAATTTAAGCTGCATGTGAATGATATACATTGCATGACAAGCAATTTGAACTAGAGATTGTAACCGCCGAGAATACAACTTAATGATCACATCAACACTGTTAGGGTCACGTGATGAGTTGCAAGCGTTACTGGTGGAGGGACATACCCTAGCCTCCTAACATTGAAAGTAGAGAAACAGCAAGGAAGACAAATGGATTGAATTTAGCGACTGTCCTCACTCTCGGCCACGGGGATCCCCCTTACCAAAAAAGCTGTATGGATATATGTAGGTGTTGCGATTATTCTATTTAATTAATGTTGGTGTTTTTATAAATGCAACATTGTTAACATTTTACATTTTCATATAAAAAAAATGTGATATACTTATAGGAGGTAATCTGGTCCAAAGAAATTTGAACATTTTTTTATATAAAATGTTAGTTTGCGAGTTGTATGTACACTGCTGTTTATCGTATAAAGCATAGATAGATCAAAAGTACTTTGCCATCAATTTGCATCAAACTCTAAACTTCTTCTCAATTGCTTGCTGAAATAAGTCAATAAAGTTGATATTTTGAGAGCCAAATATGCTTCAAACAACGTTTGTATTATTTTAGCAACCGTTTGTTCCATTGCCATCATATTTGCAGTTCGACCACTTCTAAATAGCAAGTAGCTGATTTATTTGACATAAATACTAATTTATTGTAACAAAACTAACACCGACTTAAGTCAATCTGAATGGCACGACAGCGATTTTCTATTGATTTCTTTGATAATATATTAGACCGTCCCCTGCATCGCCGTGATAAGCTTCCTGGATACGGGTTGAGTGTTCTCGCGAGATTTTAGTCGTTTTCGATTAAGCATGTGAAAGTTTGATCTGAAATGATGGACACACAGCAAAGGGTGGAATTACAGAGACTGCTGCTGCTAAGTGTGGTTTAATATTGTTCTCAGAATCCGATCAGTCTATGCATGTGCATTTCCAAATTTGTTAATTTGTTATGTTTGGCCAGGCCTAGTCTGCCCTGGCCTGGTCCTCTCTAGTCTGGTACTTTTTTGTTTTGTTCTCGTACTGTTTGTTTGTTTGTTCGTTCTTGTATTGTTTGTCTGTTTGTTTGTTTGTTTCGTTCGTTTGTTCTATTTTGTTCTGTTCTATTCTGCTCTGTTCTTGCTCTTGTATTTTGGCCTAGTCTGGTATTGTGTGTTTGTTTGTTTGTTCTGGTATTATTTGTTTGTGTTTTATGTTCGTTCTGTTTTATTCTTGCTCTTGTATTTTGATCTGGTATTGTTTGTTTGTTTGTTCGTGTGTGTTTGTGTTTGTTAGTTCTGTTCTGTTTTGTTCTCGCTGCTGTATTTTTGCTGGGTTAGATCATGTAAAAATGAGATGCAAACTCGTTATGGCACGTCACAAAACATCATCATTGAACATAAGACAAAGGTGTTTATTTGGTACTTAAATTTATTCAATAATAATTTTCAAGAAAAAATGAAAATTCGTTTAACAAAAAAATCAAACATATAAACCTTTTTTTCATAATTACATTTTTTTATAATACAAGTACATTTGCGATAAAACAAAAACGTCATGAAATAGTGTGTATACATATAATGTAAATTGCACGATATTGCGACATATGAAATTTAAAAATATGTAACTTTGCAGTAAGACGGTAATGATAAAAATTGTATCTTTTAAACATTGAATAAAATGTCCTGGTATTACAAAGTATATAAAAGTTAAACTTCGGCCCTTAAACAGCCCGTTGGAAATATATTTCCGTCTCTTAAATAACAAATGAGCTACACAGAAACGGTGAAGAAAAAAAATCACACAGTCCGTGAATACTATTTTAATTCTGTGGACAGAAAGCTAACAAAGTGTACACATGTCGCGAAATTAAACTAATTTGTTGTCATGTGATGCGAGTCAATGGATAGGGTGAAAGGTCAACTCTCGTGAAATCTCGCGACTCATTTGTGACAGGACTGTTACAGACTTTAGCTCATTGCGGATTTGAAGAGCTTTGTCGAAGTGACTTTTGACCAAAATAGCTTCAAAAACCGACTGATACGCGAATGATTAATGACAGGATACGAAAATAAAAACACTAAGGTCCAGTTTAGCAGATTTCATTCAGTCCGCGTATTAACTGTTTGCGGTCCAAATGCTTCTTTGTCCCCCTTATCTAAATACGACGCAACGAATGCGTGTTTTACAAAGCTTACTCTCGCGTGAGGTATTACTTAAAAACAATTTATCAAAATGATAAAACATCATGCATGTTTTAACAATATGTAACAGTTACTCTGTAAAAAAGAAAAGAAAAAAATATCCGACTGAAATTAGATTAAACTTATTTTTTGCCATTTCCAGATGCATCATAACGAATGGCGTCCTGAAAACAGCAAAACAGATATCGGTACTTGTATATATAAATTTTTAGATTCATGACTTTTTTCAGTAGAGTAACATCTCACTGTTTTATTTTTTATATCGCATTTCTTAAAGAGTTTTCAATAAGCGATGCTCAGTTTTCTAAAAGCTTAACCTTAAAAAAGCATGGCACATATTTGTTTCTCTAAAACTCCGCACAATATTATGGTCCGGAATTGTTGGATTCAGACAGATTTTAGTGAGCTAAAATCGATACTTTCGTCGGTAAGTGGGCTACAGTCGTCACCAATATCGTCGTCAAGGTCACTACATGCGGACATGTCGGCGTTTTCCTCGTGTTTCTTCTTTGCTGTCGCCATTTCAGCCGCATGTTTCTTACGCCATTTTGTCCGTCTGTTTTGAAACCATACCTGAAATATATATTATTTAAATTTTGAAATAAATGTTGTTTAAAGGTCCATCATGTCTCAGTAATGCATTTATTTAAAAAAAAATATGTCTCAAAAGTTTTTGTTGGTGCCCTGATAATCTTTCCAATTAGAAAACCATTGGAAAATTATCTAAAAAAATCTTTTGCCTCTGTTGGTTTTTGACAGTAAGAACAGTTATAGTGATTTAGTATTTTGAATGGAAGTCGAAATACTAATTTGTTTATATTGTTCTACCTTTGTAAAAAATGTTTCACTTTTAGTGCTACTTTCTTCAAATGATAAGCATCTAACATTCTCTAAAACCATTTTTAAACGCTACAGAACTCATGCTTGTCCTTTATAAAGAAGGTAAAAAATATATGTTTCAACCTATTAGCCTCAGAAATCAAAATCATTTTTATTTTTTTATCTAGATGGGTCAAACATATGTTTTACAATTTTAGAGTATGTTAGATTTAAACAGCTAAAGACAGTAGCAATGAAAGTGCAGTAATGTGGGGTAAAGGTAGCAAATATGCAAACACATTTCAGTAGTATGTTGACTTCATACAAAATCACTATAATTTGTGCCAAATGCCAAAGAGCAAAAAAGCAATAGATCTACATTGTATATGGTCACAAAATAGATATTTTATTGATAAATATCTTTTTTGAAACTGTAACAAGATACCAAACCAACAAACAAACAAAAATTTTAAGGCCCTTTAAGGTTTTGCCTAAATATTGTATTGCTACATTCATAACCAAACAAATATATTTGTGATAATTATTTATTCCATTGGGCGATGTAAAACCATTTCAGAGACTTTATCTATATTTTTCAAGTAAAAAATAAAGCAGATTTATGAAAAATAATAGGACAACAGAAATTATGAAATATTGTTTATAACGTTTAACTATCATTAATTATTACAGTAAAGAAAAAAACTTGTATTTCCCTATTTACTAAAGAAATCAATTTTTTCCAAAAGTAGTTCTTTATTATTATTGCCATATCTACAGTTATTATTATACTTGGACTTTTAAACTGGTTTGTAAAGCGACAATTTAAATGCTATGTTATATAGTATTTGGCGAATTAGAATTCTATAATGTGAATACTGCACTTTGAGAGAACCGCAAATTGCCATGTTGATCGCCAGATTAGCGGTTTCTAAATGGTATAGATTATGGAATAATTCCCTAATATATCACATGTTTGCATGCAATGTATAGACAACAAATATCCATAAATATCGGACTAAAATCAAACTTTTCAATATAAAACTTGTTACATCTTAAGTGGCAAATGGATTAAAATTCATCGTCTAATCAAATGTTAAACGAGTTAGGCCCTTGAACAAGGGAAAACACCGACATTACCTGTAGTTGAAACAGATTTTGAAAGCTTATTATAGATAACTTTCATTTAAAACAATTCATTTTTGTCAATACCGAATGCCCCTAGCCCTCTTCACTACAAATAAAGTTAGTGAAAGGCTGTACCTACTCGCCGTCAGATCAAGTGACTCAAGTATCTTGTGATAAGCAGTGCACATTCTTTTCTCGCTAGATTAACAATATTTGCAAAATTGTTACAATTGCAACATACTCGATTAAATGCGTATATATGGCTATGTTTGAATTGTTAGCTCTGTTTTCACGGTCAAGTTCGATAATGCGTATATATAGCTATGTTTTCAGCTACTAGCTTTACTTTGCGTCATATACTGTCTGCAAGACTCTAAAATGATAAAGTATCAAGTGGCATTAATCAAAAGTTACCGGTGCAGCCGACATCTATGTTTGTAATGCTGTGTAAAAGTTTTGGGAAGTTGCTTAATCAAATGTTTGTAATGAGGGTTGATAACTATGGAGACAAAATTATGGCGACAGGATTTCACATTTATAAGTTGTTACCTTTTTTGTATCAATAGAAACACAAGGGCGTCTGAGTGGTAGAGTCAATGGCCATTTAAAGAACCCCTTAACAGATCCTTGATACATACTCCGAAACATTGAAATGTGTTTAATTAAACCTATTTCAGCGTTGTTTCAACACAATTATTGTTATAAAAGTAAAGTTAATTGAAAGTTTTAGATTTTCATACATCTCATGTAAATGTAAAAAGCATTATGGACATAAAATATTGCCTTTTTAAAAATGTTCTTCACTTTGCAAATTTTTGTTTTTCTAATTTACTATTCTTGAAAGAGGAGATTTTTCGAGAGTTATGAAGGTAGAAAAAATATTTGATTTGAAGACTCGGTTTTACTTAGTCTATTTATGAGAGATTGTAGAATACGCAAAACCTCTCGCGCTTCCTAGCACCGCCTGAAGCGGTACTTAGTTCTAATACGCAAAATGTTTGTATGCCATTTTTATAATTTCTAGATCGTTACAATGAAATAAAACGTTGAAACTTTACGAATATACAAATACATATACACATCATTAATTTTGTATGTAGCTTTTTAGTTTTGAGTTTTGAATATTCACAAAAAGAGCTGGAAAATTCAAACATTTCATTCAACTAACAATTTGAAATATCCAAATCTACTGAAACTCATATTCGACTTTTTTGTACCAGCCCTCTGTTATAGCAAATTGAAGTATCACGGAGACAATTATTTAAGTGATGTTTAGGTAAAACATGTTACTAAACAAGGTCCACACGTTCATTTTCCTCTCATTTTGTCTGTTTTAACATATAAACCTCTTGAGACAGGTGAATTAAATTAAAATCAAAGTTAGATCTAACTGGCGACAGCAGTTGATTAAAACAGATAAACATAACATTAGGAACTTAATAACATGTTGGGGTAAACTTTGCTGATTCCCCTGACATGTTAAAAAAAAGATGTGAATAAAATGCCGCCTATATTTGTGCGTACCTGGACATAGCTTGGAAAGGCAAATATGCAAAGAATTATAAAGACGCATGAAACGCACAAAAAAGGAAATACCGGAAGCACTATTTATGATAAAACTGATCCCGAGCCAATGTCGTAAAAGAGAGTACATTGATTTACAGGTCCCTTTTTTAAAGTTATTTAAGTTTGACAAGAGAAATGTAGAGGTTACTAGTATTTGAACTTGATAAAAATTTTAAAAAATCTCGGTCTAGCTAGATTCGCCATTTATGACAAGGTCAAAAAGAATGATATCTTTAGTAAACGTACAAGCAACATTTATACACTTATTGTAATACAAAATTTACTACAAATTAGATTGAATTTGAAAGCCAGTAACTGTACCGAAACAATGATATTCTATATACTAAAAGAAACACTGCTGATTGCAATTGTGAAAAAAGTTTAAAAAAAATCAAATACAATGTATTACAGTTATTTTTTATTTGTAAAATAACAAAATTGTTTTGATATAAGGGTAAATTGCACAAGGGAAATAAAGGCATTCAGTTAGGAAGAAAAATGTTTCATACTAGTATATTGTTTTCTTTGACTATTACAGGTAGTGACGGATACTGAAATAGAACTACATTTTGTACATGTACTTCTTGTTTTATTTGCCTGGTCTTTCGGGATCATATAATTCTTCTAGTCTTGAGGATTGAATACCACATAAGCCGGTGCCATGGGACATGAAAGATGTTGCATGTTACATTATCTCTCTTTGACAGACTCTATAAATCCAAATCTGTGATTTTCAACAACATCTCTTGGTGTCTTTGATCATCCCTTTCAAACTGCATGTATCAATAAATGAATTAATACAGGCGGAAGTTGATAATATAAGAATCTTACACTGGCTGCCGGCAGAGCCTCGTTACCGCTGTAAACAGTTACCCTCGAGCTAGATATTCCGGTCTGTACCGGCAGCCGGTGTAAGATTCTTATATTCTAGCACCGGTGTAAACGGTAGATAACCCTGTCTGATATGCAAGAAATAGATAAGAAGACCAACCAGATGGTTTCACGACATTGATGAATTCAAATTTTCGACCAAGAGGAGAATGGAAAATTCAGGCACGCTTGGTCAAGGGAGAAAGGTTGATTCAACTAAAAGGGACATGAGAGGAAGGGTAAGTTTGACCAAGAGGAGAAGGGGAAGTTTCGACCAAGAGGAGAAGGGCAAATAATTGTAAGAGTTATGGACCTTATTAACTTGTCTATGAAGTAAAGGAGAGTACCGTGTGTATACAGACTTACAAATACAGAAACGTTTACAAAGACAATGAAAACTTATCCGCTACCTATCAGTGTGTACTATACATAAAATGTTATATTTGTATCGTCTTAATTATTGCTGTGTTTTTGTATGCAACAAGTGAAGCCTTAACCTTGTACTGGCTTATCCGGCGAATGTGCAAGATTCGACAATTAATCTCTTTCACTTGGTGATTAGAAAACATTAGTAATTTTTAGGCCCACATAAGGTGAAAAGAAATTCCATTGAATAAACAAGAGAGCAGTCTATTTCAAATGGAATGCGTATTTATAAATGACTTTGGTATTAAAAGCAACGATAACATAATTGTATTTGCGGTCATTTATGTGCAAAGAAAGTGAGCCTACCTAAGGTAAATTTGGAAAGTGATAAAAACGCATTCCACAATCATTTCATCATCGAGTTTTAAATGAATTTATATATCTTGCTACTGGGACTACATGTAATTTCTATATTCTATATCGCCAACTTTTTCTTCGTCCGCCAATATCGTTACACCTATTTTTAGGGTAGCACATATATTAGGGTAGGAATATCAAGTGAAATAATTAATATAACATTTAACCAACACGTCAGTGGTAACTTTTGACACAATTGACAATTTTCAATTGAGCATATACCGTATACAGATGATTTGTACCTTTTGTATTAATTTTACATGAAACGCAGCGAAAAAAGTTCTGAATAAGAGGTTTGTAGTAAGGTCCTTACAATATACATATTTGTTATACTAGTAACCAAATGTAAGCGTATTTAAAAGCTACTGAACACTTAAAGCCCTTTTTAAATGTTTTAATGTAAACGCTTTTCTACAATACATACAAAAGCAAACTATACACGGAAAAACATTGAGTTGAATTTTTCTTCAATGGTTCCGTCCATGAAGGCACACCGCATTTTGTTTATCAGATTCAGGCGGATGGCTTTAGACATATCACACCAGAGAAGCTGGTCAAATTGACGCATGCGTTTCTTGTAGTAGACAAGATACTGTCAATAACTATGATATCCTAGACGCAATCTAATACCTTGTCATTTATCACACACATTGATTGCACAAACAATCTCCGTGCAAAACCGATTACTTTTACGTACACTTTGGTGATCAAGATCAGTTCTTGATATGTTTGTCAATCGTCTGCTCGATCATGATTAGTTATTTATACGAATTGACCACCAATCCGATCATTTATGAGAGATTTTAAGTGCAACATACTTACATAAACAATTGACTTTTACAAGATAATCCGAAAGTAATGTTCAAACAACAAAGTTCAATGTTTTGAATTTCTAGCCCATCGGAGAAATTCAACTGAAGTCGATAACCGATTCAAAGATAGGTAATGAAAATTAAAGCAGCATCTGGTTACAAACATTATCATTATCATTATTTTCAACCATGTTCCTGTTTTTATCTCAAATAGTATAAAAACTGAAAGAACGGCCGAAACGGCAAAATTACAAATGTTGCACGCTTGAATTAAGTCTGTTCCTTGACGACAAGGGGTAAGTGTAAGCTTCCGTCCACTACCCTCCCCTAACAGACTTCAAAATTTAAACTTGGATTTACTTAAAATTATGCACAAAATGTTTAAAATTAACAGTAGTGTTAGACATAATTATACAAATACAATGCAAAATATATAACAATTACGAAAACAAACGCTCTTTTCTTAATATACATATCTTATAACCAAGACCTTTTTATGTTAATCTTGAATGTGAATGCAATGTATTTCAATAAAATAAATATCATCAAGAATAAAAAGCTACATAGACATAATGAGATAACGTGATCAAAGTTTGGAGTATCAATGGAAAGAACACTAGGTGATTGTACTTGTGGTCTTCCGAGATTGTATGCATGTAGTTTGCCTTTTTTAAAGACGTAATCAAATGGTTTCACACTATTGACCGAATCATTGTGATGATAGTTTGTATGTGAATGATACATGCAACCTTACAAGATTTTTTCATTTGAAGTAACATTTAATAAGACATAGAAACTTGATGACCAATCAAATATACAGTGTGGGTAGCTTAACATATGGTTATTCACTATCGATGTACTATTATTGATTAACATGAAAACATGGCAATATCGTGCCATCTAGTCTAGAACCAAACAATTCACCGTGCAATGCTCGTCTACATGGTTTTGAAAAATCTCTCAAACATGCATGTATCAAACAAGTTATTTATTTTGAAATCATAACACCGAAATGCCTGAAACAACGAAATTCTGGGATGATCTCTCAAAGACAGTGATCAGAAATATAATTGTTAGTTGGTGAAAACTGCAGACTCGGTTTTGCTTGAGTCTGTATGTGAAAGAGATTGGAAAACACAACATCACTCACGCCTCTTGAACCCGGCTTTATCAACATTCAATCTTCAACACAAAGACCTTTTTTTCAAAATATCTCAGTCAGGAAATGTCTGATATGTTTATATTTAAAGTAAAACTTCGTCTATACATACAAACTTATATTTTAATCCATGCCATTCTTTCTAAGCATCTCAAATGCACATCATTTTATGAGTAGGAGGACTTCGTGCTTAACAATGCAAGTGCACCATCTAATGTATGTATACGTTTTTTTCCTTTCAACACAGGCATCTTTAAGATATTTAAAGTCAACACTTTATTTGCCAACGAAGGAAATTGCAAGGAAAGAAAACAACAAAACAATTAAACAAGTCAAAATTGAGGGATTTTAATTACAGAATGTTAACGAGAGTGTAATTCGTTTTTTTGTTTTGTTCTGATTTTTTTCTAGTCATGCAAGTGTCAGTAGTGATGTATTTTTATTTTCTCCATTAATTCCAATTCTTTAGTGTAGAAGATTATGTACATCTTTATCCGGTGCTAGGCAGAGTTATAGATGAACTATCATTTAAATTGCATACAAGGTTTGCAACATTTTCTTTTAATCTTGTTGTTGTTTTTTTCTGTCGTTTACTTCAAGGTTTTGTTTTGTTTTTCTTGTTTATTAAGTCTGTTTATGATGGATAATACAAGGTGCAACATATCTCACCCCAAAGCACCGGCTTAAGCAGTATTCAATCTTTAATACTAAACTAAGAGTCGAAACGGCGATTTCGTCATCTATTTTCATTTTAATGAGGTGGTATTGTTGCACAAGACATGATTAGAAAGATTTTAAGGAATTTCTAACTGAAAAGCTTTTCATTGAGTAACTATAACGATATTCTAACAATGATTTATTATTTGCTGGCCAATGCTTCACGCAAAAGTCTTTTAGTGTTTGATATGATTTTATCCAATAGCAAAATAATCATAACACATTTACTTTAGTAAATCGGCTAAATTTAATCAGTCTAGTAATAGGAAAAAATTACCCCTCGGAAGCATTGTAAAAAAACAAAATCACATGAAAATTGCAGACTCGGTTTGATTGAGTCTGTAGATGAGGGATAATGGAAAAATGCAACCTCCCTCATGCCCCCTAGCACTTAATAGTGCTGGACTCAATGATCCAGGAGGAAATCGACAGACTTATAACCACTAAAATGCTGCGCGGTTCTTGGCCAATTTAATTTTGTAAAGGCTTACTTATAAACACTAATCTACACTTAAAGGATATTCTTTGAATTAGAGAAGAGAAACGTCAATTGTTATTCTTTACTCAATTATAAAATGTTCGAGAGCAATCCTAATGTTTCACCAAAATCAGGCCTTTTTAACCAAGGCCGCTGGAATTAGTGAAAATGTGTTACACTTTTTCTCAATTAGATCTCTTTCAAAATGATGTAAGATACTTATCAAAACTGATATTGTGTTATATTTTACATATATTTCTGATCAGGAAAGTCAAAAGATTAAGCGTATATATGGTCTGCTTCTTGATTTTCAAAAATAGTAATAATGTTAATGGCGGAAACATAACTAGAAAGGACTTTAATTTTTACAATTTGTAACAACATATTTTTTGTTGCCTTTTGAACGTCCCCTTTCATTTGAACTACTTTATACTAGAGAAAAGACCTGCCAAGTTCGTTATTTTGAAGGAATTTTAAGTATTTTTAATATATTATAACGGGTTTACAGAATATTTGCATAATACCTATAAGTGTCTGCTTCATAATTGTGTTTTAACATTTACAATCACATAATCTATTATATTGGAAATATACAACAACAGTTCGCATGTGATATTGAATATTTTAAAAGTCCAAAGACGGTTTTGAAGATTCCTGTTTGTAAGATGATAAAAACCCATACATACAAGAAATGTTACAATTCTGTTACATCGTTTATTCTTTTGGAAATTATTTTTAAGAACTTAAAACATTATTTTTTTTACCTTAACTTGACTTTCAGACATGCCCAGTGCGTACGCAAGTCTGGCTCTTTCCGGTCCCGCCAAATATTTCGTCTGCTCGAATGTTTTCTCGAGAGCAAAGATCTGTTGACCGGAAAATGTTGGTCGTGTATGTTTCTTTTTCCCATCTCTATCAATTATGACATTTGTCTGTGCTGCAAGAAAAATGTTTAACTATGCACACATGTATTTCAATATAGGATTTACCCAAATATGTCTCAAAATTAACAATGTGGTGGAAATAAAATTAACAACAGCAATACACAGTTCACGATTTAGAGACTTTTAAAACAAAATATCATGTTTGTATACTATCATTATGAAAATATTTTTTGAAAGTTTCTTTGCTGAATTCTCCATTAACAAGAGCCAGTATATGGCCGCATTGCCGAGTGGTTATTTTAAAGCGCCGGACTAGTTATCTACGTGGGTTCAAACACTTTCAGAGGCAAGCCTTTGTTTCCTTGAGCAAGAAATGTTAAACCTATTTCTTATTACTAAATGGTTCCAGGAACGGATTCAAGGGTATTTCAAAGAGCTTAAAGCTTCCAACACAATCGAACTAAAATAAATAAGTATAAACTAAGAGTCAGGTACATATAATATGTATATTCAACTTACAGTAGAATTAATTGTTTATGTTTTCATATCAAGTTAATATATTTATACATGTGGATGAATTTATTTTTAAAAGATGAAATCGTATAACCAATTGGAATATATATGCGTGAGAAATGTTTCCATCTTATACCGATGTATATCAACAGGTGAAAAAATGGAGAACATATTCCACAAGGAAAACAATCAAAGAAGTCCCATGCAAAACTTCCACAAATAGCATTATTGTTGCCCAATGTGGTCATTTTCACACAAAACTTTCATCTTATAATAATACGTTATTAGTTTTAATTGATTAGTCGATTTGGCAAAAACACCTAGTTGGACTGAGATATTTTTTATCTTATTTGACTGGCTAAAATACCAACAGCGGAAAAACAAAACAAATATCATTCATTCATAGATTAATAAAACATTCCATTAATCATTTTAGAACTTTAGTTGTCAATCGATTAAAATCCAGTTCAATCAAAAATATGAGCTTTACTTTGAAAGAAATCTATTGAAATGTATTATAAAATAAAGTCCAAGAATAATTGTGACAAGGAAATCTATTGAACTGTATTATAAAATAAAGTCGAACAATAATTTTGACAAAGAAATCAAAAAAGGGGATATTTTTGGGGGATATTTGCAGCTGTGGTGTTGCATTCCATAATAAAGATGGGGGTATTAACATGCAAATGCTGGAAGATGTTTTAATATTGACATTGATATGTTTCGAAGCACGTGTTACAAGCATAACATAGTCAATGTCTTGTTTCTGTATACATAATGTATTAAAACAGAAATAGTCGCCGTACCTTTGGCATACCTTTCTAACCTTCAGGCATTTATCAAATTATGAATTACCGTTAATGTTCATAAACTAATCTATGTATAAACCCTGGAATGATAAATACTCTGGGCTATTGATTCAGTCTGTATCAAATTAGATTTTTATTTACTATACATTAACCTAAGTGACTGGGACTCGGCCATTATTGTACAAAAATAAATATAATAATCGACGCGGCATTAATTAATATTTGATTTACGCTTTAATAAGGAAAATTGGTTTCAGCATAGATCAAATAAATTACAACAAGTCAAGACTAAACAACAACCTCCCAGTGGCGAAAATTCCTGGCAGAGCTGATCTGCATGATTACATTTTTTAACCTTTAACCCCATGAATTTGTAAAAATGGATTAGTCCTTCTCTGAATTTGGAACAGTCCATTCAAAATTGCAATTTCCTTTAGTAAGTTAATCATTGGCCATATAGATAAACTATCGTTGGCTTCTTTTCTCTATATGGCAAGTGGTATAATAATAGTAAATTAGTATGTTTGCATGGAAGTCAACATACTACTTTGTTTACATTTTGCTACCTTTACGACACATTACTGCATGTTCAGTGCTATTCTCCACAGTTGTTTTACAAATAAAATGATCTATATTCATTATTGAAACATAATTGAACACTTATTTGACTTTTCTTAAAAAGATAAAAAAAAATGAAAATATTGATTTCTGAGGCATAATGTGCCTTTAAGGGATTTTAATATATCAAAACACAAAATTTGAGCTACCAACAGTATAGAGTCTGGTCAAACTGCAGAATGGCATGGTGTTATACCGGTAGCAAAGGCTAAGCGCTTCCGGTTCCAATAGGATAGTTTTGCTTGCTGAGACATTGAAGTTATACAGAAAATACATTGAAAATACTCAAGACTTGACAATCTGCCTCCTGCGAACTTCACAAAATAAAATGTTTTTGTGTGGAAGAATTGAAATCAGTACTTGTATAAAAATCATTATACATATATTAGCTAATGATTGTAAAGGTTTTTTTTAGTATTTAGTGAAACAATCAGTTCACCCCTGAACAAATTTCGTTAAAAATGAAAATTTACTTGATTTTTGTACAATTCCTATTTAAACGGGTAGCTTTTGAATATATCACTTGTTAGAAAAATCTTAATATGGTTGTTAGGTTGGAGACATTACATTTTGATAATATATTGAGTATTGAAACTCTTCTCTCAGGAACAGAAGCGCTACTGCAAGATGCAGAGGAACTTTGGAGGACAGAAACAGTTATTGCTGCGACTGGAAAGACTTTGTAGAGAAGCAAACGACAAGAAGAAAAAGAAACTCTTTCCGTGAAATACGAAATTAGTACCCCAGTCTCACTAGATAAAAAATTATTTATTTTACAAAATGTATGTATAAAAAAATGTATATTAAACGACAATTTTGTTGATGTTAGAGAATATCGAAAGTAAACAGTAATAACGATGGAGTGTTTTAAATAGATCCCCGAAGACAAAAAAAAAATAATTAAGGCTCTAAATATAAAAAAAAAAATCCAAAAAATAAGGAAGTACAGAATTCTAAACTACATAAATTCTAATCTTGTATGTTTTAAGTTTGATAAAAACATATCTGATGAACTCTAAAATAATTTTCAACTTTGTTTGGGTTTGAAAATTTAACACCAATTATACTTTAAATAAAATCACAATTGAATAATTACCAACAGTTCAGTCTAACATTTTTTTTTTTTAAGAAATCGTTAATTTTACAAAATCTTTGAGTCATTTACATTATTTGACAAAAACAACGGTTCTTTTTTCGTTTAACACATTCAAATAAATACGAAATTAAAACAGTAGATAATAATAATTATTATACATATTAACAAATGCACGTGCCTCATTAGTTGTTATATTTACTATTTTCGTTTGTTGTAATATAGGTACTCATTTCAATCTTTATAAGTGTAGATCTAATTATTTCATGTTGGTAACTTAGTATACTAAAACGTGTTGTTACTGTACATTATGCTTTACTTTTACAGAAAAGAAATTTACATAAGTCTTTGACTTTCTTTTCAATCCCGTTTTATATCATGTTGTAATACATAATTGTGTATGTTTGAACTATATGGGAAAATACGGTTTAAACCAAATGTATATGTATACTAATAACATGTGTGTGATATACAGAAAACTACTAAGATAATATCTACATGTATGTCAATTAATATTGATTGATAAAGGCTAGATAATCTTATATTAATTATGCAAACTATTAGTTTTTGTTTATTTTGTCATATAATTTTTTATTATGTTATATAAATATAAAATATCTATGAGAACATCTATGCATGTTCTCTCATTAGATGGAAGTCTACAGAACAGGCCGCGTAGGTTCAAAGTCCGTCAGGTGCAAGCCGTTTCATTGAGAAATAAACTTTACATTCATTGCTTTGTACTGGTTGGTTCTAGGAACGGATTCGAGAGTGTTTCATTGAGCTTATAGCATCCAACACAATCGAACTAAAAGTCTTATAAACTAAACTAAGCACAATATGTACAAACCAATAATCTAAATTTTTGATATTGTCAATTCATCAATATATAAACAGAAGTCGATACAAACGTTTTCGAAAGTAGCAAGTGATGCCATTGGTTATTATAAACACTGTTTACAGACCCAGGTTACATTAAACAAGTGTAACAAAAATTGAAAATAAATTTCTGTCATTGTTTGTATGAAATAGATTGATATACATATAAAACTTATACAAATACATGTTCTCAATATAATGTTTCAATGTTAATTATCAAATCAAATACATGAAGGTTATCATGATTTCAAATTCATGTTTTCCCATTGCTTCTCTTTAATAAAGGTAAACATGGCCTCGTGTATTTTGTTTATTCGTTTATTGTATATTAATACTGTTTGCATATGACATATACTTCTGACTTTTTATTTATTAGTAAATACCTGTACATGCTAGTTAAGATGAAAATCTAGTGACCAAACGACAAAGCATCTTTCGATGTCATTATAATCGTACCCTTATACATGCATACTATGTTAAAATAAGTACAAACATCCACAACAACAAATAAACAAAGACAGCGTTAATAAAAAAAAATGGCGTTATTGCGGTTTCATAAATTTTCTTGGTCAGCTTAACATGTCAATTTGTTTGTCAAACCTTGAAACAGGGAACTAAAATATAAAAAATCAACCATACTTTCACTGATAAAATTGGGCAATGTTATCAATTATAGAGTAATAATGTTTTCTGTTATTTTACCAATATATATAATCAGTTCAATAAAAACAAACGCTTTTCTTGTTGTTTTTTTTCTGTTATTTTACCTTACTTTAAAACACGTGTATTCTCACCTGTTGGTCTCCAAGAATGGTTATTGAGAATACCAGGCCAGTAAATTGGTGGTCTTCCTGGCAGTTCTGCAAGTTTCGATAACCTGGCTTGGGGATGTAAATACATCCCTGCGTTTATAGAAGAGAGTCCTAAAGAATTCACCGGCCTACCTAGAATATCTGTTATTCTATGGGGTGTGGCCTGCGTCCAAGAAAGTCCTAATTGTTTAAGTGTTGATTGCGTATAATTGTACGGGTTAGAAAGACTGTCCGCGCTTGAACTTGTTATTGGGGCTTTCATTTCTGTGAGGTTCTGAAGTGCCGCCAATTGCGGGCTGCTGAGAACGAATGCCGATTGGCGCTGTTGCGAGTCCGTACCCAAACCAGACGTCATACCCATGTTAAAAAATGACGTCATTGATGGTGACGGTGTCTGATACCCGGGCGAATTGCCGTCGGAATTTCCACAATAGTCCAACATGTCTTTATCGATTTGTGTTGGTTTAAAATAAAGAAAAACCAGAAACCAGTCGAATAACTTCCTGGCCCAGTCCGGGTAATTTAGTGTAGATTTACTCCTAAATTCAGCAATTTACTTTTTTCCAAAAAGTACATATTTTGTTCATCTTATCATATAAACATGTATATTTACTTTTAACGGGCAGTAGAATGTTTAAATTCTAACCACTGTAAGTTCTGTAATTATTCCTTCAATTACATCCATATTATTCGCATCATCAATTTAACGTCTAATCGAATCACGTGCTGCCTTTAATGTCATGCACACCTGCGTGAAAATTACTTGTCAATGGAACAACGCGTTCCCATTTAAAGCTCCCCGTTCAACCAACGCATTCCCTTGCTTTCTATTTTCTTTCACTTGCTTTCTCCTAAAATGTATTTCAGCAAAAACACAATTATAGAAACTCCAGAGAAAAACAATTAAAATTTGTTTACAAATATACACGCTATGTCTCAAAACCTCGCTATGCTATCAACACGTTAATGGCAATGGAAAGTGAAAAAGCTTTAAACATTTTTGATACATTAAATAAATAGTAAGATCTGTGGGTGGGATTGAATCGCAGATAAAGACGTAAATATCACAATATTAAGTCAACAATTTTCCCATTGGAGAGAGGTTTAGTCTTCTGAAGGGGGCGGAGTTACGGAAAATCTATAAACCAATGAAATGGTAGTAATAGATCAGCAAAATTGTTGGAAACTGAGGAGATGCTTTTGTTTATGAAGTATATCTAAAATACTTAAAATAACGATGTAGTTTTTTCTTTATTGTATAATGTATATTATTTTTACATATTATATATATATAAGTAAAATCTGTATAATAATTTAAGTACTATAGTGTTTCTTATTCATTGGAGGTAAACATGATTTTGTTATTATTTAAAATTCTTAAATTAACATTAAATTCATTAGCGTTCCACAAGTAGAAATATTATAATACTTGTATATGAGTAAATCATTAAATCAGGGTAAGTGCAACACTCAATTCGGATAAAGTAGTACTTAAATGATATTTTAGATCCATGTACATTCTATATAATGATTAACAAAATTAAATATTTTAGAATAAGAAATGATATAAAATTTAAATTTGAAGCCCATTTGATTATCGTGCATGTTGTTCTATGTCAATAAACAACTGCAATTTTTTTTATAATGAGATGACATGATATTAACCCTAAACCTAAATCTGAATTTTATTGATATGGTCAGATTTGAATTTGGAACAGTGCAGTCAAGGTTTAATGGATTTTAACATCAAAATACAAACTTTGAGATTAGAACAGTATAGAAACTGATTATAAAGAAATTTTTATAGCTCAAACTCAGATCTCAGGCATTTGATTGGTCCAAAATTGCCACAGAATGTACACTGACCAATGAAAGTCATGACATTTGAGACAGAACTCAGAGAAAAGTTTTATAACCTTCCAGTTAGGTTAAGGGTTAAAATAAATTTTTGTGTTAAAGCAACATAAAAATAATGCTGTTATATGATAATGGTGCTTATGATTTAAAGGCAAATTGTGCCCCAAAAATCCATTATTTTTTAATTTTTAAAATTGTCAAATGTGTTTTATCATGTTTCATTAATTAATTTAGAGCATATCACACGTTTAAATACTGAAGAACATAGCGTTGAATGTGCAATAATGTATCGTTAAGGTAGCAAAATGTTAACAAAAAAATCGTATTTTGACCTTCATACAAATTACCAAATTCACTATACTGATGCCAATTGCTGACAGAGCAAAAGTAGCAAAATATAGTTCATGTATATGGAAAACCAGTTTATCTTAAGAAACTGTAAGAAGATACCAAAATAAAAAGTTTTTGAGAAATAATATTGACAGCATTTCTGAGGCATAATGGACCTTTTAAAAATCCAGCAGCGTCATGTCGAGAAAATGCCATCAGCAAAGTGCCAGTGCAATCTGTGCCTTTGTATATAAACTTGACCGTGCTTATGCTCAGTTGCCTAGTTAAAACTCTATTAATTATGTAACGAAACACGTCAGTTTATATAAGATATATTAGTATGTTTCAAATACATACTATGCAACATAAAGCTCTTTGTTTAAAGACCAATCCGTGTTTATTGCCATATTATAATATAAGCTTATCAAGATTCGAACTTTCTTGTAACACAAACGGATTGACGGATGTAGGTTTATCCGGATACTATTACATGTACACTGTCCTGCACACGTGAAGGCACTGACAGATATCAGAACGGGAGTGTTCAATCACAGATGTGGTGAATCCTAGGGATTTTAAGTGTTATAATATTACAAGAGGGGATTTAAACAACAATGTAAACCCAATGATAATGAAAACATTGCGGTCTCTTTGATGTAGATAATAACTCAATGAGTGTATTACCGAGATTTTCTGTATTATTCAATCCAATACATCTTCGTCGAGCTTCGAAAATAGATTATTCTAAATTTGAAATTATTTAGATAAATGTGTAAATGAAATTATTCAATGGAATTATCAATTGACATTCGGTAGTTTCTTGTTGATATTTAAGAATGAATAGCCTTCTGTTTTTTGTTGATGACTTTATTTTTGTAATTGTTTGTTTTGTATATTTTTTTCTGTTGTCGTCGTCGTTACACTTAAAATTTGAAAACATATGTGTTAATTGTCCAAATAGCTTATCATTTCCACAGAAAAATACCCATTCTCCGCGCTTAACATGCAGAGAAGCAGAAAATTGCAAAAAAGTTGTGTGCACCGGCCCCGATAATACACATGTGCATTACCTTCCGGTAATAACGGATGTACTTCAACTTCCGGTTTAGCATGCATGCGTGTGAATCTCGTGTATAACTAATTAAAATTACAGATTCAGCAAGTTAATAATTTCATACTGGTTCTACGATCTTTTACACGTTTTCATTTCTGATACTGACAAAAATAAGTACCCGTCAATATCAACAAAACAAACGACTATCCAATGTTTAACCCCGACCGGAGAAAAGGCAGTCTGTCAAGAAGTGTCGCGAAAAGCCGCAACTTTAAATTAGTCTAAACTACTCGATTAACAGCGCGAATTTGGTTATTTTTCACAAGATGGGCTCGCTCTATTAGAACTGTCAGAATCCTGGTAACAAATGCGACATTAATTTCATCTGTACATACCCGCTTGAATAGACAATTTGACAAAATAGGAAAATTTAAAAGCATATTCTCATCACTATAGTAACCAAAATGATATAATATTCCGTTTCTGACCCTTTAATAATGGTTCGAAGTGAATTATTGGTTTTCATGGCTTGGGAGGGGAACTTTATTCAAAAGAATATATTTGACAGACGGCCGGTTATAGTTCAAGTTCCATCATTTCTAAGATTTACTTGATTTTAATGGATGCTAGAGCACGAATGATAAACTGGTGTAATTGACTTACACAATCTTATCATTGCACTTTATCATAATTTGTGAGATTTTATTTTGGCTTTTATCAACAGTTTGAACATTGACATATCGCGTACAGGGAATCTAATGTCAACCTATTTTTAGATAAATTCCGTGATTGGATAAATTACTTACAAGATCATTCCATGAAAATGATATTATAACATATACCATATACTAACATATTATTATTTGTAAATACGATTGTGCAGACGAGATGGTGAAATTTAATTTCACCAATAGCATTGTTAACTAAAGCTTCGTGTAGTAAATTATTTTTCCCATATCAATAAAAAGGAAAATGTCGAAGTATGTATCACCATTATGATAAATTATAATAACATATAAGCTTCTATTAATATAAACTTTTATACCGTTGTTGTTTTAGAAAATGCTATTACTTTTAGACATTTATTTTACTATTATGTATATTATAGCGGCTATAATGAAAGCTTTAAGTTATCCGTAAAGAGTACTGTTTTACCCTTAGCGTTCTGACAGCAACAGACTCTATCTATGCAACTAGTGCTGGCGGGGATCAGCCGGTACTCCGTGCCGTCCGATCATGGTCTGCACTGTTCGCTATTTAATCGATTTTTCCTTCAATGTTGAATGGTATGGTCCAGATTGAAAGATGGACATGTCCATTTAAGATACGTATCGTGGTTAACGGTTTTTATAGTACAGGTATTTTGATATTGAAATATCTTAAACTACTAATGAACATTTCAAAATACTGAGCATGCAGAGATGACCATAAGATATATTTTGCAAAAGTAAGCATTACTTCCCGATATTCTACTTATAATGTTTGATTACAATGCGATATGGTGCAATAAATGACAATTGTTAACAACACAAAACGCATAGATTGATATTATGTGACAGTACATTAAGACTGTTAACATTTTTTTTCTATTTTCTTTCTTTGTTTCTTTGTTTCTTTCCTTTTTTATTTGGAGAAAGTACGTATTTTGGATAGAAGCAATAGCTTTTTTTTTTACCTTGTTCAAAAATTATGTAATACTGTTACAGTGTATGACATACATCGCCATTTTCAGAAACATTTTAACAAACTGTTCACATTGCAAAGATAATTCTTTTTGAATTTCAGTATTTCAGAAACTTAAAATATCTCGTAATAATGATACGTTCAAAATTGATTAATATTTTATAATTATTCGGGTAAGGGCAATTGGTACATCATGTTAAATAGATGAAATTACCAACAGCAATGTCTTACACTTGGTAGGGATAAAGTTGACAATAAATAATAGTTCAAAATACGACTTTCTTTTCCATGAAGGCATGTTTTAAAAGATGACAAAATGAGGGATGAAAAAAACGTTAAGAAAAAATGACACAGTTATCTTGATTAATGTAAAAGAAATACATGTGGTTAAACTTAAGCAAATGATCTATTACAGTGTATACCACAAGAAATGTTAATTCCTTTGAAAAATGTCTTAAAAGAAATAGCACATCAAGCGAGTAGGATGAATTGCATCATGGTAACCTTAAAGAAAAGATGTAAAACTGGCTATATAACCATACAATATAGCCGTTCAGACACTGTTATATAACCTTTCAAAATTCTATATGCATGAAATAATTTTATACTGCTGCACAATTGTTTTCTTTCATTAAAAAAATCATAAATATACAGCAGCCGTATATATGAATAATATAAATGCCAAGATTGACCAATTGTCAATCAACGTTACAAGCGTTATTGGTAATAAAGATTTTTGACAGGTTATATGGACCTAAATAACCAATTTTATATAACCTAAGTCGTTTGGCGAGGATTATATTGCAAATAAAGCATTTACATATGCCATATAAGCTGTCAAGAATCTATATAACGAATTTATAATACTGCAAACTTCCTTTATAAAAGAAGAAAAATGAAAGAACTTCAGAAATCGACTGCAGCCGTGTATATAAAAATTCACAAGCCTGACGATTATCTAATCAAAAGTAAAGTTAATTAATAGGTAGTTTACGATCCGGATCACGACAGTAAGCCACTTTGAATTCACTTGGCCACAGTTCAGCCATCGCATCGTTCCTGGGCAGACTGTCAAGCTTTT